TTGTTCAAGATAAGTAACTCTTCTAAACTTAGTGTTGAGGGTATGAAACCCCAAATTATGTGTTGTTTGTTTGGTATTGAGCTGACGCACATGCTAGGTGACAGGCGTGTGGGCGTGCACCCTGTGTATTGTGACTCCGTTGTTTTCCCTAGAACCGTTTAGTGGACCTAGTTCGTTGATATCTATTTTTTCACCATGTGATTAATTAATTGAGTTGTCATTCATGCTAGATATCATGTTTAGGCTTTATGATGATATTGTTAGGACCCATAGGTGGTCGTTTCTTGCTGTCACCTCACTGATTTCATTGATATTTTGTACTCAGTCATATTCAAGCATTCATATTATATCTCAGTTTCAGTTGTTACATTGTTGTCGGGCTAGTTTTATGACATTGAGAGCCCTAGAGATAGGAGAGATTGATGACTGAGTGAGGCCGAGGGCCTGATTGTGAGGATATTGATATTATAGCACGTGAGTTGTCCGTGCGGATTCTGATATTGATACTATGGAACATGAGTTGTCCGTGTGGATTCTGATTTGATACTATAGCACGTGAGTTGTCCGTGCAGCACGTGAGTTATCCGTGCAGATTATAGCGCTTGGGTTGAAGGAGCCCCTCCGGAGTCTGTATACACCCCCAGTGAGCACAGGTACCTAATGAGTACGAGTGTTGAGTGTGAGTGCCGAGTGACGAGTGATTGGGATGACCGAGTGATTGGGAGGACTGAGTGACTGTGAGGGCTGAGCGACTGTGAGGGCTGAGTAACTGTGAGGACTGAGTGACTGTGAGGACTGAGTGAATTGATACTCTGAGAGTAGGCATATGGTTATATTACTGAGTCGCATCGCATTTGACATGCACATGACATACAGGCACAGAGATGCATTTTCCTCTTGCTGTACGGTATCACGTCATTCATGACTTTTTACATACATTGATATGTGGGCATAGAGAGGTAATTCACACATGCTATCTAGAAAGAAAATGAAACATCATATTTACTGTTGAAAGGATTTTTGGGAAAAGTTACAGTTTTCAAACTTACTCATATTCTTGACGATTTCTGTAAAGGATTTGGGATTTCATTGGTATACTTGAAAAGCGGAAATGTTTTCGGAAAGCTATGAAAAGGCTGAGCATTTTATCTTTGAGCTATTTCTTTATTTATTTGCTTTACACTGTTATGAACTGCTATTTGGTTATTGGTGTTGGACCCGACCTATATTCCAGCTCGTCACTACTTTCAACCTGAGGTTAGGTTTGTTACTTTTTGAGTACATGGGGTCGGTTGTACTCATACTACACTTCCTGCACATTACGTGCAGATCTCAGATGTCGATGTTGTTGTGTTCGATGAGAGTTGGATTGGAAGATGTGCCTGCGTCCCTGTTGTAGTTGCCTCTTGTTCATGGTAGCCTTAGATTTTAAAACTCTGTTTATGTACTTTTCAAACAGAAAATGTATTTAATTCATATCGGCTTTGTAAATTCTATTCTTAGAAACTCATGATTTGTACTACCAGTCCTCGGGAAATGTATAAGATTTGGATAATTCTTTTGTTTAAACTGTCTTAGGGAATATTGTTGGAATTGGATAGGATAGTTGGCTTACCTGGCCGGCTGGGTTAGGTGCCATCACGACTAGTGGATTTTTGGGTCGTGACAATCAATAAAGTTTATTTACATACATACATATTTTATTGTTGAATGTTATATACATTCTTTGTTTATTTTTTATATGTATGTCGGGTAGACAAGAGGTTGGCCTTCTCACACAGGCAACCGCTTCCTTATCTTAGTTATGTGAGGAGATGAGACATAATTTTAAGCAAAATTATCATAAGGATAATTTGAGAGCTATTCGCTTAAAATCAGAATGTCGCTTAAACAATGACATAAGGCATTAGGGTGAAAAACGTTTACCTAATCTACAATGTGAGCCAGATATGAGTTAAATATGATTTTGTAGATCAAGAAACTCAAATTTAGATACTTATGGTGTCTAAATATCATCTATACAGTATTCTTTTTTAGATAAAGACATACGCTCCTTGGTAAAAGGAGAAAATGTTGTAGCACGTGTTTTATACCATGTGTGCTAATGTCGACCAATTGATGGAATCGCATTTATTTGTATTCAGTAATGCACCAATTATAACTTATGAGTTATGATTGTGAATACAAGACATAATGATATATGAGATTTTAAAACTATATCAAATGTGATTTATATGATCTAGGGCACTGCATACTTTTTGATCTACTTGCAGGTTTGACTCGGCGAGAGGCTATATACTCCTAACAGATGTATAGCGCTTAGCTCTCACAGTATGTTGGTTGCACGGTCTACTTCCCTGTATGAATGATTGAAGAGATGAGAATATGTTTCTCAGATAAGATGAGCACTCCCATTATGTGTGAATGGGAGATGTAGGAAAATTGGGTCCACCCATAAGGGGTGTTTTAAGGCTCAATAGCATTATTAATTAACCCTAATATTTCCTACATAAGTACACTTACTGTGTACGATCACACCCAACTATGCTTTACAAAAAGGACTAAGCGGTCGTTGCAAATATAATCCAGTTTACAAGTCCGGAGTTGAATCCTACAGAGAACTAAGGCTTAGCTACAGTTTTTCAATATTGCTAAGAAACACAAGTCCAAATAATTTCCTAATTATAGATATTATAATGTTTATTTATAACTAATTAACTAACAACTATTATAAAGCAGTAAAATTATCAACTAACATGGATGAAATTTGAGACAGGACTAAGGAGGTCTAGAGTTATGACTTCCCCAGTTGTCGGAATCCTTCTCGCTATGCCTTCTATAATTTCGCCTAAGTATTCTCTACCGATCGTGAGTACTTCGGGTGTCATAATTCTCTTCCGAGCAACTACCACAATTTACTCAACATATTCTTCCAAACTACGCTAGCTGGCACTAGTTTACCACTCACTAAGATCGCACCAAAGTTTCGTTATTCCTAATCCCACCTTTAAACCCTTCATATTGATTCCTCACATACGTCAGGAGTGATGTTGTTCAACAACTACCTAAATATGTACCCTTTTTCAAGCAATACATACTAAATAGGCACAGTCAATTGATGGCCATTCAATCAACAACAATAAACACGTAGTTGAACAAGTAGAGAAATCCAACGGCTAAATTATATAAAAAAATAACAAGAATGTATCCTACAAAAGGTTCTGTCAGAACTCTAGATAACAAATTAGCTATTCATAATAGTATGCATAACTACAATACTAGAATTCATAACCAATAATGGAAATAGAAAAAAAGAAGTGAAAAACTCGAAGAAGAATTCCCCGCTTTGCTCCTAGTGTGTTCTTGCCTCCTTAGGTCGAATCCCCCCTCAAAAACGGTGCTTAATGACTATTTATATGTGTAGGAAAAAGACCAAGACAAAATAACCAAGTCCAAAACCAAAAAGGAGATGAAATAGGCTTTAAAACCCGGAACACCCTCGCTACATACTGTGCGACGCGAGCTCTACCGCGCGGTGAACCTCGCTACAACACTGGCGTCGCAAGATATAACGCGAGAAGAATCCCTCGTCTCGCCTGCTTCTGCTTCGTTGCCTAACTCTTGCTTCAATTCTCATTTTTGATTTACTTTGCCTAACTTTTCCTTGAAGCTCGTTGATTTTGAGTTCCAAACCTTCATTCTTTACTCCTTGCGTCTTACAAATGCCTGTTTTCATTTAAATACATATAATATACTTCCAAAATATTTGCTTTGCTCACAATTTCATCTCCAATGTACCTACACATAAAATAAATTCAATTAAACCCAAATATAGTATAATTTAGCATTAAAACACCAAAATGTAAGGTAAGTAATGCACTAAAAATGTATAATTATAGCCAAACATCAATGTACAATAAAAAAAAATACTCTGCAGTATTTTTCCAGACGCTCTTCTCTCCCAATTCCAGTTAAGGGTTTAGACTGTGGAATAGGCGGTTACTCCGACATACCGTAACAACCACCGCCGACCAGTAATTCCAACTGTGGTTCGTCTGTTCCTTCCGCTACGCCAACAAGTAAGTTCTCGTTTTACAATTTACGCGCCAATCTAATGTGTTTAGATTAACGTGTTCCCTCACTAACTTATGACTCAAAAGCTATTTTGGCTTAAAATTCGCTTAAAATAAGTCCATCCAAACGGGCTCTTAACTTATTCTAGTCAATACTGTCAGTAAGTTGCTCTCTTTTCAGTATATTGCATTTATATGCTTGAACGTTGATAAATTTAAAGCACACTCTCATACGTGCAGTATTGGCAAATACTGAGGTAGTAAATTGGATTATATGATCCTTAATATTGGTGTGCTTTAGACTCAACAAATTGCAGAAGGAAGTGTGAGACGTTATTATGAATTCCCAATGTCAATTTTGGGAGCCTTGGCGTAACTGGTAAAGTTATTGCCAAGTGACCAGGAGATCACGGGTTCGAGCCAGCCTCTTGCAGAAATGCAGGGTAAGGTTACATACTATAGACCCTTGTGATTTGGCTCTTCCCCGGACCTCGCGCATAGCAGGAGCTTAGTGCATCGGGCTGTCCTTTTTAACGTCAATTCTCATCTATTCAGCAAAGTTTGCATAATCAATTTCGAGATTACAACGAGCTTAGTGATTCTCATCTATTCTTGGAGTTGCATATTTCTTAATGGAGTTTTCATGATAAGTGTTTTTAGGGAGCTAAAAGAAAAGGGCAATACAATGAGCATCTATGAAATAGCATAACTTAGAAAACAATAGCAGCTAGCTTTGTGCAATACCTGTTTACATATAGTAACACTTCAGTTATGAACAACTACTACGCCTCAATCCTAAATAAGTCGAGTGACCAAATAGTTAAAAGGGTAAGAAAATTTCAGAAAAAAATACTATCACTGGCTAACCTGGTTAGATGTATTCCAAAGAAACTTAAAGCAAAAAGAAAAAAAGGAACACAGGGGAGAAAAGGTTGAACCAATAAATCTGATTACTAACAATTACCAAAACATTACAACTTCCAGATGTCTACCTAATGAAAATGTACAGATTTCTGGCAGTTACATTTAGAGAAAACTCATAACATCGAAATAGTGATGTATGAATTCTCATCTATGTAGAATATATATATATATATATATATATATTAGTAGTAGACACTGTTATTTAAATTTAACATTAAACCCCTTTGAATTGGCTCTTCTTAGCGAGCCTCTAACGCTTTGTTCATCCTTATCCATTGATACAGGGGAATCAGGTTTAGAAGAGGATGCATTCCAAGAATCCAGGTTAGAAGAGGGACATTTCAGAATCCCTTTCAAAGGTTTTTTCTTTAGACAAACGGCTTCCTTCTTCGAATCATCATATGCATTAACCTCTTCGCCTTTGGCAGTTTCCTTCTTCTCATCTTTATTTATAGTAACCTCTTTAGCTTTGTCGTAAGCAGAACCATCACCTAATTTATCCTCACTAACTTTGGCTCGGACAAAGTCATCACCATAGTCCACTTCACCACCTCTTACACGAGGAGAAAGATCGTCTAAGTAAACCTCACTACATTTTACTTGGACGTGATCATCAGCAGTGGCACATTTGTTACCACCCCAAACACCGTCAATATCATCACAGAAGATATCTTCTGTAACTTTGGCATGAATTAAGTCATAACCAATGGAAACTTCTTCGTGTTCAGGTGCAGAATGAACTATGTCGACAAGAAAATTTTCATCATCTGCTGTCTGAACAAGATTATCCATTCCTGTTTGCACAGGTTGAAACTTGTCTCCCTTTTTGACTTTAGGCAATTTGAACCATCCTTCTGTCAACAAAGGCAGAGACAGATTTTTCAGAAATGAGGATCTCTTTGGAGCTTCTGCCAATTTTTTCTTGTCCTTTGTGGTGAACAATGACATGGCGATCACGCTGGATATGAAAAGTTGACAGATGGCACATTTGATTTGCTCGTGTCTCTCGAAAGATGAAGCTTGTGTAAGGCCAATCATTCTCTTGATCCCAAGAACTTTACGCGCCAGATCTCCTAGTTCATATCTCTTGTATTTAGGGTCATTGAAAAACTTGGTAGCCAGGTAACCTATATCAACTTTATCTTTAGTCAAGCCTAATTCTTCAAATGGGAACAAATCTTGCTTTTCTGGTATTGCAAAACCAACGAAACGGATTCTCGTGTCCGTAAGAAATTTGAGGACAGGATCAGGTAGCTGTTCACCAGAATGAAACCTGAGGATCAGACAACCAACTCCAAAGCACAAGAGAACCAAGATTATCTTGGGATCGCGAGGGTGGCGCATGACATCAAGGCCAACAACAGGTGGTTGTGCCCAAATCTTGCCTTCTGGGAAAAGAATATCAGCTGTGAATAAAGATTCAAACTCTTTCGCCTTAAAGGTTATACCTTCTAGTTTAACCTCAAATCTATTGGTTTTCAAGTATACGATTCCTGCCATATCTTGGTTCGACGAATGTAGAATGACACTAAACTTATGTTGGCATGAGCTGATGGAAACAAGAATAGGGATGAACCTTTCCCGAAGGATGCAGGAAAAAAGAAAATTCTTGAAACGAAATGTTATTGCCCTAATATTGTGCAGGGCAAATGAGTAATGAAAATTAGCAAGTTGGTACAACAAATTGTCAGTCAATGGTATCCAAAACCACAAAATAAAAGGGAGAAAAATGAGGGAGACTAGTGGTTCTTGAGAATTAAACCTGCAACTTGGATGGTTCTGCCTAAAGTAATATTGCTATTTGAGAGGTTTGTGTTTGTCAGAATTGGACATTTTACATCCACAAAAGAAATTGGAACCTCACCACAGCAGTGGTCTGGTTGAAGAATTTTCAAATATACATATGTTCCACCAAAATAGGAGATTAATAATCCTGAGTTTCAAGGAGTTTCACATTCAACGAGTATTAAAATTGGCCATTTTACCGTAATTTGCCTAGATTACACTCTACCATAATTCACAGGTCCACAATATTCCAAAAAAATAAAAATAAAAAATAAAAAGGAAACATACAAATAATTAATGCTACCATTGTCACATAGAAGCACCCAATATCTCTGTAAGAAAAGAACTGATCTATCACCTCTACTAAACATTCAACAAAAGTTGGAAATAATTGCAACTTACTGACTAAATTAGAGAAATCATACTCTACATATGTATACACAATCACACAAACTAAATATGTAAACGAGAAAGCCAATTTGAACAAAAAAGTACTGATATTCCATTGAAAAGCTCTTGATTCAACTACAAATTCAGAACTGAGAAAGTTCTACACCAAAACACAAAAGGCTCCAAACTCTTAAAACAACCCACTATATACTCAAAAACTAACAATAACCATCACGGCATAATCCCAATTTAAGCTCTCTCACCCCTAATTCTTCTAGCGAGCTGAATGTCTTTCGGCATAATGGTCACTCTCTTAGCATGGATGGCACAAAGGTTAGTATCCTCAAACAAACCAACAAGGTATGCTTCAGCCGCCTCTTGAAGAGCTGCAACAGCAGAGCTCTGGAACCTCAGATCGGTCTTAAAATCCTGAGCTATCTCACGAACCAAACGTTGGAAAGGAAGTTTGCGGATAAGGAGCTCGGTCGATTTCTGGTACTTTCTGATTTCTCGAAGTGCAACAGTTCCGGGCCTGAATCTGTGTGGCTTCTTCACTCCTCCGGTCGCCGGGGCTGATTTCCGAGCAGCTTTTGTAGCTAATTGCTTCCTTGGAGCTTTGCCTCCGGTGGATTTTCGGGCAGTTTGCTTGGTACGAGCCATTGAAATTTTGGAGAATTCAGATAATTTTTGGGAATTTAGGGTTTTCTGCTTTGAGATCTTGAATTACAGATTTGAGTGTGGAGAATGAGGGGTAGAGGGAGAGAATTTATAAGAGGGGGATTGAAAAATTTGAGCGGGAGGGAGGAGTAAATCGTGGCCGTTGATCTGTTGGAAATTAAGTTGTCGCGGATCGATGACGTGGAAGATAGGGAGGTGATCCTGGTCGTTGGATTTGAATGAGGTCGGTGTTTAATCAACGGTTCCGACTGATTTGAAGGAACGCGTTGCGGATCGATGACGTGGCACGTATTGTGCTTTCTCTTTCAATCGCCGTTTGAGATTGATCGAAGAAGAGATTTCTGGATCGATGACGTGGTAGGATCATCTGATCTACTACTCCTATGTTATACACAAAGCAAAAGGCAGTAAATAGAGGAATAAAAACCATTAGTTTTAGCTAATGTTACTCATGTTAACGTAATGTTAATATTATCTAATTTGAAAAGAGGTTGGGTACCTAGATACTAATTATTGTAAGGGAAAACTCGATTAAAAAGTGTATATAATAACTCATGTTAAAATTCTTATTCCAAAATATCACTAACCTTTAAACTTTGGTGGTGCACAACAAATATATCTCATTTGTTCATATCTTCTTTTAATATTCACTCACATTTACCAATTAAGTGAAAAGCATCTTCGTTTTGGACTACATCAAGTGAAAAGCAACTCCATTAATCACATCAATTAGTCATAGTTCATTGAGAAAAATTTATATACAAGTATATATTATGCAATTTATGAATTCAATATAAACACTCGATACACAAGCAAAAAATACCTCTAAAGAAATAAGCGCTTATGTTGTCACGTCATTTCAAATTTATGGATGATTTCATTACTTGCAATTGTCCGCATCCAATATTTGCAACAAATTAGTTGATGCATGTAGCGGCGGAGCCATCTTATGCTAAGTGGTGTTACTTGACACTCCTTCGTCAAAAATATATATTGTTTAGCTACGTCCAAATTTTTATCTTATTGTATACATATTCCATATGTTGAATCCCTTACTTTTTTCGTGTGTTTACTTAATTATATTTTGACTCCATTCGATAAAATTTCTAACTCCGTCGCTAGATGCATGACATTTGTTTGCACATGTTAGGTTTTATCTAATTAGATAAGAGGTGTGAATTGAAAGATTTGGAGGGAAACGAAAAGTTTGAAGTTGTCTCCTTTACTAATGCACTTCGTCCCTCATCGGAAAAAGGAAAGAAAATATTTGTGCTTATATAGGATGCATCTTCTAGCTCTTAAAGAGTTAAGAATAAGTGGTGCCTTGTGCCGTCGTCGCTCGCTCAGCTTCCGTCAATTGATATGATTGATTGATTGATATTTTTTTGGACCAAAGTTATTTTCCGTTATACAATTTGTTTTCTACTCCAGTTTGAGATTCAGAGGTTTTGCCTCATTTTTCACCGCCGAAAATCTGCATACTCTCCCCTCTCTCTTCAGCATTTCTGCACTGTTTTTCCAAAGCAAAAACGTAAGCATAAGTGTGGTTTACCGTCGTTTCTTTAGTTCGACGAAGTTCTGTAATTTCCATTGCTGGTATTACAGAATAGTTGTTCCGTTCTATCCTAGGAGGGATTAATCCAATAACCTTGGGCAACAGTAAGGGGATTAAATTTTGTAACGACCCTGGTCGTTTTGCTTTCTAGAACCCTGTTCCCCTAAATAAGACTTTCCGTACTTGCTTTTTTTAATTTATGACTTGCGGGGATGGTTGGTTCGGGATTTGGAAGAGTTTGGGTTTGAAATCGGAACACTTGGTTCCTTAAGGTTGGCTTAAAAGACTAAGTTTGACTTCGGTCAACATTTTGAGTAAACGATATCGGAATCAGGATTTGAAGGTTCCAACAGGTTCGAATGATGATTTTGGACTTTGGTGTATGCCCGGATCGAGTTTTGGATGACCCGGGAGCATTTTGGTGCCTAATAGTGAAAGTTGATTCCTTAAGGATTTTGAAGTTCTTAAATATTTGGTTTGGAGCGGGTTTTTGTGTTATCGAGGTCCGAACAGAATTCCGAGGTCGGGAATAGTTTCGTATTGTCATCTAAGACTTGCACGCAATATTTGGGTCAATCTGAGTAGTATAAGTGTGTTTCGTTGCATTGGATGTGAATTGAAGTTCATAAGTTTGATTCAATTGGTTTTAAGGGGGGGTGATTCTTAGATTTAGCGTTGTTTCGGGCATTTCGAGGGTTCGAGCGAGTCCTTTTTATAATTTCCAACTTGTCGGTATGTTCGGGGGGGGGAGCGTCAATCAGACGAGGCTCGAGTTGAGTTAGGAAATATTGGAAGGAGCTGAAGCTCCAGGTTACTGTCATAACCGCACCTACGGTTGGCCAGTCGTAGGTGCGAGACCGCAGAAGCGGTCGACCCTTCGCAGGTGCGGCCCAAGGGGAGGAGCCCAGGAACCGCAGATGCGGTCCCAGCCAGTCCGGTCCAATTCCGCAGATGCGGACCTTCCCTCGCACAAGCGAAACCGCAGACGCGATCCCCTAACCGCAAGTGCGGAAATCGCTGAAGGCAGTGCCTTCATTTAATACGAGAAATGTGTCATTTTTGACACATTTCATTCAATTCTTGGGCGATTTGGGAGCTTCCAAATAGGGAATTTCAGCCTAGCATTGTGAGGTAAGTTATTTCTACATATGTGAGTTTAATACATAGTTTAGGGGTAGATTACACCTTGTAAATTAGTGAATTTTGTGGGTTTAGAGTAAATCTAGGGTTTTGATAAAAACAAGATTTAACCACGAAATTTATTATTGAATGAAGTAAAAATCATATATTCTTGATCCTTAGGTTATGGGTAACAACTTCCCTCGAGAAATTCCGGAACCTGGGCCCGTGGGCCCGGGGATGGATTTTAGGAAACTTGTATTTAGGGTTGGGAAATTACTTTAATAGTTAGAATATAAACTCTTGAGCTTGTATTGACTAGTTCTTACCCTGTTTGATTAGTTTTGGATCGTTCGGCTTCGAATTGAGGGTTTGAGCGCGTTCTTGAAATTGGAAGTAAGCTTTGGAGCAAGGTGAGTCTCCTTTCTAACCTTGTAAGAGGGATCCCCTAGGTGAACTAAATAAATGTATTTGACTATTTATGGGGGCTACGTACGCACGTGGTGACGAGAGTCCGTACGTAGCCACTATTATGCTAATTTTCCGGGTAGTTTAGGACATGTATCATGCCATACATGAAAATGCTTGTGTTCTTGCTTGCTAACTGAGATCACTTAGGACATGTTACGAATTGTAAATAAATATAAACGAATGCACACACTTACTTGAGAACTTGTATGAATTTATTTGACTATAAATGAACAATGTGTGCCTTCTTAATAATAATTGCTATTTGTGGATCGGGTCGATCGCCTCGGTAGAAATAGATGCATCTATGGTTCGCGCCATTCGACCCTCAGGCAGTGCACAATTATTATTATGTGGATCTGTCACGACCCCAAACCCGGTCGTGATGGCGCCCAACACTAATGCTAGGCAAGCCCGACCAATTAAACACTCTCAACCCAAATACGCAAACTGTTAACCAATAATACCATTAAAATAGTAAGTATCAAGTTCCAAACTCGGAATTTAGATAAAGTAGTATGAAAAATAATAACGAATATATCAAAAATTTCCCCAATAAATCCGGAGTCACGAGTCTAGAGCCTCTAAATGTAACAGAGTGTTATATTCATAGTAATAAAGAAAAGTCTAGGATAGGAAAAGACAATGCAATAAAGGGGAGAAGTCGGGTCCTGCGGACGTCAGGCAGCTACCTCAACAACTCCTAAACAGAAATCCAAGATGACAGTAAGCAGCTCCACTAAGTCTCCGGAGCACCTGAATCTGCACACATGGTGCAGGGAGTAAAGTGAGTACTTCCAACGCAGTGAGTAATAAACATATATAATGGTTGAAAGTAATAAATCCTGAAAGATTACAATATAAAGCTATAATCAGCGATTCAGTACGTTAGACGATAGAAAAAAAACAGCAAACAATGACAATTAAGGGCAACAGACATAAAATGCATGGATGCTATGCAATGCACATGACCGTTGCGGCGCGCAGCCCGATCCATTTGGGTACCCGCGCTCACTGTGGGGGTTCAGACTCCGGAGGGGCTCCTACAGCCCAAGCGCAATATCATCGTAGCATTCGCTGCGGTGTGCAGCCCGATCCATACTCAGTCCAGATATATATATATATGCATGCAAGCCACTCGGGCACAGTCAAAGTGTTCATCTTTTAGTTTCAATTATTAGGAGTTATAGAGCTATGTGTTTAAGTCTTCATTTATTTACTAAACATTTCAAAACAGTGTCTAACTCAGGACTGATATTATGAAATATGCTAAGCATCATAGAAACAGTGATGAGGATCCCTGAAGGATGCAAATGATAGGCACAAAGCCCCAACATATTCATAAAATCCAAGTAGGATGATTACCAAACAATTTCTAGTCAAGAACACCGTACGAACATCAATCGAAACGGACTGGGTCACAATCCCCAGTCACAATCGACCCCGCACTCGTTAGAGTGCGTGTCTCGCCTCAATATAGCGTCACAATGTGATATACCGGGGTTTCAAACCCTCAGGTCATCATCTACATCTATTACTCACCTCAAGCCGGCCGCAAGTCTAGCTCGCTATGCCTTTGCCTTTCGAATCAACCTCTTCGCATGCCGAATCTGATTAAAACCACAAGGAATACATTACAATAGGCTAAAGAAACATAACCCAATCGAAAAGACTCGAAAAACACTAAAATTCACGAAGTTGGCAAAACCCGAGCCCCGGGACCACTTCTCGAAAAATTATGAAATTTACATCACTGGATTCCTCGTCTCGCCACGAGTCCATACATATAAAATTTACCAAAATCGGAGCTCGTTTGACCATCCAAATTCTATTTTTACATCACAGCTTTCTAAGCCCTAGCTTGACCCGTTTTTGATGAAATTCTACTGATTTCTATGATAAATTTACCATAAACTCGAGTAATTAGGCCAAGAGA